GTCCTATATTTCTTTTGCCGTCTTGCATTGTGAGACCCTGAAAAATTCATTACGAGTTAAGGCAGAAACAATAACGTTTCGGGCTCTTACATCATATTGGGCATGCTTATTTTCATCCAGCGTCCATTGGTCAAAAGTCTTTGGAACAGTTCCAGACCCCACTGTTCTCATCGAAATGTAGGGACCGTTGATTACAACATCCAAAACACCGTAATTTAGTGTTTTAAAAATATTTTCATTCTCGTCTTCCAAAACTGATAGTCTTCTCCTTCAAATAATGGTGGTATGTTTATTGAGGCTCCTTTCCTGTAAACCTGATTCTACATAGACATCTTATTTAAGCAAGCTCTGATACCACTTGTTAGACAAATGCCATCTAGAGGGGTGAATAGATGCACAAATTAAAATAGATGCCAAATTAATTTTTTTTTTCAGATGTTCAATATTTATAAATTTAATTTTAATTATCAAATTGAACAAAGATAAAATGAAAGCAATATAATCACAGATATAAAATATCAACAAGATAGAGATAAAAATAAGATGTGTAAGGAGAGTAATGTAGTGAAAAAGATATAAGGGAAAGAGAATAGTACACAATGATTTATATTAGTTCGGGTATAGTCAATCCTACATTCAGTTCCCAATCAACTTTTAACACAAGAGTGACCCCAATTAACTATCTTTTAAATTCAGTTCACAAATTACAATCAACTCAGAAAAAAGCAAACTAATTCAAAAGACAATCACCTCCTTAGAAAATCCACTAAGGATGAACACCTCCCTAGAATCCCACTAGCAATGAACACCTCCTTTGAACAAATCAAAGGATGAAAATCACCTCCTTTGCCACCAACACACAAAGGATGAACACCTCCCTAGAATCACACTAGGGATGAACACCTCCCCGAACAAATCAAAGAAATGAAAACACCTCCTTAGAATCCCACTAAGGATGAACACCTCCCTAGAATCACATTATGGATGAGCACCTCCTTTGAACAAATCAAAGGATGAAAACACCTCCTTAGAATCCCACTAAGGATGAACACCTCTCTAGAATCACACTAAGGATGAACACCTTCTCTAAATAAATCAAAGGATGAATAACACAATTGATTAACTTAAACCTCTTAAACCCACAAAGGATGAAAGAGTAAGATAAGAACAGTCATACACAAATGATGAAGGTAATAAAAATAAAAATAGTCACACCTGGGTAATGGAGACAACAAATTGTAGAAGTCTATAGAATGTCAACCTCCAATAATAAGTGTGATTAACAATGAAAACACAGTAGACAATGGAGAAGAGGGTTTTCTCAAAACATGTAAAATATCTCTGTTGTCTTGCTCATAATTCTTTTCTCAAAATTGATTGAATGTAAATTGTGTTTTCGAATTCTTTAATTGTGTGTTTTTTATTTTCCATCAAAACTTAATTAAATAGAAAAATAACATAAAAAAAATAGTCGTTGGTCATTAATAATATCATAGAGAAAATCAGGATTAATTCAAAAACATTTATTCTTCAAAAGGGATATATTTTTCAAATTTAAATTGTCATAATTGATTATGTTATTAGTATAATCAATTATGATAGAAAAAATAATTTTACATTTCTGATGCATCATAATTGATTATGACAGTGAAAAATATCATGTTACGAAATTTTATCACACTTGTGTTTTGGAGGCTTATGCATAATACCACTTCATCAACTTGTACTTCTATATCCAGTATTTTAAGACTCTATCTAGTATTCAGGAATCATCTTAGGCTTGATTGAATCATCATCTTTATCAAAATCATATATTGGATATTTAGGGAAATGTTTCACATTGTCACCAACGTCTTTAATTCAACTTGTCCTTAATTCATCTTAATGTCCTTAATTCAATTCATCTTGAATGGTGGTGACTTGAATGTAGTTGACTTGAATCATCATCAAAATTATCTCTTGGGAATGTAGGGACATTTCCATCAATCTCTTCCTCATTACTTTCACAATTAAATCAGATATATTTTGACCTTATTCATTTAGATCCTAACCTACATGAATTTAAAACAAACTAACTTGGAGGCTTATGAGTTGGTCCGTTTTATATAATAATAATTATTTTTTAAATAAAAATAAAAGTAATATTATTTTATTAATATATATATATATATATATATATATATATATATATTATAAAAAATAATTTGATAAATTATTCATTTATTTTAAGAGTAAATATTAGAATAAGTATCTCGTAACCACTTATTTCAAGATCTAATTATTAAAATTAATTATTATTTTAGATCAATAAATTAATTAAAAAATAAACTATAATATCAACAAAGAATCAGTTTTTAATTATTATTTTAAAATCGAATGATCCATTTTTTTATAATTTATATGTTAAATTATTGTATTGAAATAAAAATTAGTTTTATTAATATAATTTAAATTTTAAAATATAATCTATGTTATACCATCAATTTTTTTTAAGATTAAGTCAAATTATGTTATACTATACATTTTGATTGCTTTAAAACTATACATTTTGACTGCTTTAAGAGCACTATTATATATTTATCTAAACAAAAGTATGAATGACAAATTTAGAGAGAAGACTAATAAAGTAAAGTGTAAAAATGATAATTTTGTATAAATAAAATTTAAATGATTAATTCTTCACTTAAACCATGTTACTTCAAACCCCTTCTAGATCACTGTACTTTTAACCTATTTTAATTGGTCCTCACAAAATTCAAAATAAATCTTCAATTTATGATTATATTTATCAAAATTATCATATATTATTTTAAAATTTAAGTTTGTTGAAAATATAATATATTATTAGAATCAATACAAAATAATTACACATCATAAATGGGTTATAAGTTTTAATGCAAATGATAAAAAATTCTACGAATAAAATTTCAGTTGGAATATCTCGTATACCCACCTTTAAAAAAAATTATATATGTGACTTTTGTTATCATCACTTATTTATTTAAATTCTTTCAAAAATATGGTTAGTTATACTGTTGGAAAATATTTTCTAAAAAAAAAAATCTGTTAAGCCTTTTTGTTGATAACCTGTAAAAAAATAAAAATCTTCTGCTAACTAATTTTATCTTTTTTTCAATTCTTTAATCAGTTTTTTGGTCGATTATTTGGTTTATCTAAATCAGTTATTTGATACATTTATCATTCTTTTTTTCCGACTAGTAGGTTCAATTAGGTTTTTAAAACTTGGTACGAATAAGCTATGAACTAATTTTGAATTTAAATTATATATCTTTTATGATAAATATTAATTTATTTTAACTTTGAGAAGAAAAAATTATTAGTTTTCGTAAATTTTAATTTTAAAAGTTTATATGACAATGTGAAAAACATGGTTGTGGATCCTTAACATTATGTTATCTTTGGATGATTAACATTACATATTTAAATGTATGGTAGGTCACCATTAAGTAAATATATGAATTATTTAAAAGTTAAAAAATCACGAAATTTTTATTAAAATCTATATAACGTATATAAACCTAATTTTAAATTGTGAACAATCTTTTACTTTAATTTCCGAACAAAGACGCTGTTGCAGCTGTGTATCCATTTTTGTAAAAACATGTTAAAAAAATAATTATAAAAAGATGTAAAGAATTATAATATAAAAAAATATTTAAGAAATAATTAGAATCTGCAAAGAATTATAATTTTAAAAAATAGTTAAGAAATAACTAGAATCATATTTAAAAAAAAATAGTTAACAAACTGTCATTATACTTTAAAATAAAAAATAATTAAAAAAACAGATATATAATATGAAAATATTAAATAAGAAAAAAGTTGTCTAATCTAAATCCCTTTGTTAATAATTAGTGAAAATATAATATTATATACATTTTAAAAAAATGATAAAAAATAATTACCAAAATATTAAAATAAAATTATAACTTTAAAAGTAGCTACTAAAATATCAATCGTGAATTTCGAAAACTAGAACACTCTTTAAGAGAAACAAAACTGTTACATAAATTATAAATACACGATGAAAAAAATTCGTACTTCCTATTACACAGGTAACAAAGCAATTTTATTGCTACTAAATTTTCATCTCTATAATCATAAATAAATAATTTTTTAATTGAATAATCGAAGGGTTGTAGTTTAAAGAACACTTATTATGATTTATATATTTAAAAAATAATAAAAATTCAAAAAAAAATTAAAAGAAAAAATAAAATTTTAATAAAAATAATTATTAAAATGTATATACACAAATATTTTAGGACCTATGTTTCTATTAATGAAAGATAAAAAAAGTTACTAAAATAAAAAAATTTAAGAAAATAATTAAAATTATATTTATATAATATGAATAGAAGATTGTGTGAAATAAATTGTGTGAAATAAAACGGTTAATTGTTATTAATATAAACATATAAATTTAAATCGAAGATAATCTTTTACTCCAATTTTTTTTATCTCGAGTTATTGTGATTATGTGTCCATTGTTTAATATTATTACAAAAATATTAAAATAAAATTATAATTTTAAAAAATAGTTAAAAACTAATTAGAATCTATAATTAAAAAATATGACAAAAACTATCTAAAATATTAAAATAATTTTTTTTTTTAAGTTATGAAATATAAAAAGTAAAATAAATAGAATTATTTAAAAAAAAAAATTACATAACTCACCCCCTTAATATAATAACAACAACCCACTCCCCTACAATAGTAACAACCCAATCAGTATCTGATCAAATCTTCATCTCAACGCAAATTTCGCGTTTTGTGCATAAAACAGATAATAATCATATCAATAGATAAAAAAAAAAAAAAGATAAGGCCATTTTCCAAGATAAACTGGCGGGTCCTTTAAGATTATGAAATTTTGGCATGGTATCTGTTATCAATCTACTATTCTACTATAAATAAGCGGAGAAGAACCAAGTGTTGAACACTACAACATCTCATCAAGAATAAGAAATCGACGTATGGCGGGTGCAAAGAGTTTCTCTTGTTTTGCAGTAATAGCTGCGGCATTGCTTTTGGTCCTTCTCAATGTGGCTGTGCTTTCCCATGGAGGCAAGACAAGCACTTTCATCAGGAAGGTTGAGAGAACTGAGGACATGCCTCTTCATAGTGATGTATTTCTTGCCCCTTCGGGCTACAATGCTCCTCAGCAGGTTATTTGGGTCATCTTGTTTACTTACTTTCATGTATTTTTTTATTATATTATAGGTCTAGTTCTCTAAAATGATAATATAATTTGCTATAGTTTCCTATACATTGATTTAGTGGTACACTGATCAAACAAAGTTCTAGACTGCTATTAAATTTTTGAATGAACTCAAAAAATCATCAAAATAAGTTTTAGTATCATTTTAATATTTGGATTTTGATTTAATTCAATTCTGAAAGTTAGTTGATTATGTGAAAATGATCAATCAATACTCGCATAATCTTCGTCTGGCATTAATCAATGCTTTTAATTTGAGACAAAATAACTTGTTTTGGTCTTTTGTTTTGTAGGTGCATATAACACTAGGTGATCATGTGGGAAGGGCCATGATCGTATCATGGGTGACCATGGACGAACCAGGAAAAAGTATAGTATATTACTGGAGAGAGGAATGCCCGCACAAGAAGGAGGTGGCCAAGGGAAATCATGTTACCTATAGATTCTTCAATTACTCTTCTGGTTTTATTCATCACTGCACTCTCAGAGATTTAGAGGCAAGAGATCATTAGTTTCTGCATGTTTTGGTTCTTCCAATGGAGGAATACAATATTTGTTCATTGAATTGACCCAAATAGATGAGTTGATCATGTTTTATGAGTACGACTGTTAACTCAACTTTTTCATTTTTTTGCAGTTTAACAAAATGTATTATTATGAGATTGGAATTGGGCATACCAGGAGACAGTTTTGGTTTGTGACCCCTCCTGAAATGCATCCTGATGCACCTTATACATTTGGTCTAATTGGTAAAATTACAACTTTTATCTGGTTTACGTTTACTTAAGTAAGCTATCATGTTTATACATCGAGGATTAAGAATCTCAACATTGATTTCAACATTAATTTTGGAAGATGGGGCTTTTGTTTGCAGGGGATCTAGGTCAAACTTTTGATTCAAACAAGACCCTTGCTCACTACGAATCAAACCCTCAAAAAGGCCAAGCTGTGTTGTTTGTGGGAGATCTCTCTTATGCAGATGATCATCCAAATCATGATAATGTTAGATGGGATACATGGGGAAGATTCGTAGAAAGAAGTACTGCTTATCAACCTTGGATTTGGGCTACAGGGAACCATGAACTTGACTATGCTCCTGAGCTCGTAAGTTGTCTACTTTATGTGTTCCAAATATTTTAGGTATAATGAGGTGATTAGTTTAGAACCTAAGACTTTCTTAAACTATCCAAACACCTACAGTAAGTCATTTCTTCGGATTATTTTAACTTTATTAGTTCAAAAGTAAATTCTAAAGAGCAAAATTGATTATACTTTTCAGGGTGAAACAGAACCTTTCAAGCCTTTCCGCCACCGTTATCATGCCCCTTACCAAGCATCAGGAAGTACTGAACCCTTTTGGTATTCTGTCAAGATAGCTTCGGCACACATCATAGTGTTGGCTTCATATTCTGCATATGGTAATATTTTATATATGCCCCTTTCTCTTGACATGGTAAAAAAAGATTTCTCTTGACATTACCTTTCAATGATTGGTGTGTCTTGACATTACCTTTCAATGATTAGTGTTTATAACACACATATTTCACTTAGTTTCGTATATACACCTTTTTTGCACTAATATAATTCTACTTTTGCAGGTAAATATACTCCCCAGTACGAATGGCTTGAGGCAGAGCTAACAAAGGTTGATAGAAGCAAGACCCCCTGGTTGATTGTTCTGGTGCATTCACCGTGGTATAACAGCTACAACTATCATTACATGGAAGGAGAAAGCATGAGGGTAATGTTTGAGCCTTGGTTTGTGAAGTACAAGGTTGATGTTGTGTTCGCTGGTCACGTCCATGCTTATGAACGAAGTGTAAGTGCTCCAAATTCTCCCTTTCATTAGGTGCCATGCATCTAGTCTAAAAAATGAACAATAATACGCAGTTTATGATTAGACCACAGAATATTCTAACCACAATTATTATGCACCCTACATCAGGAACGTATCTCTAACATTGAATACAACATTATTAATGGTCGATGTGGACCTTCCAAGGACCTGTCAGCTCCTGTATACATAACCATTGGTGATGGAGGGAACATTGAAGGCTTAGCAACGAAGTAAGCTCTACAAAAATTTTCTTCCTTGTATTAATAACTCTTCTGAACATGTTTAGTTTGATCACTGATGTGTGTATTTTCTTTGCACTGCAGCATGACAAATCCACAACCCGAGTACTCTGCATACAGAGAAGCAAGTTTTGGACATGCCATTTTCGAAATAAAGAACAGAACACATGCGCACTATAGCTGGCACCGAAATGAAGATGACTACGCTACTATAGCTGATTCCATGTGGTTTTTCAATAGATATTGGCATCCTGCTGATGATTCCACAACTAAGTGAACCAATCAAAGCTAATAGCATACGTTAGACTGCTATTAGTTTTCAAAGTTAAGGCATTGGAAAAGAGACGTGTACTTCTCAGTTGAGAGTTTAGAGCCTTTTGCATTGGAACGTAGACTCTAGAAGTTCTGCAACTTGTGCTCTTTTCGTAGATTTTTTTTTTTTTTTTTTCTAGTAGACAGTTTTCTTTTTGTGCTGCTGATCCAATTCCTATCAGTATAACTATGCATAGTTTTAACTATTTTTATATTCATGAACCCATTATCAATTTACTTTTACTGCTAAACTTCTACTTTTTTTTAATATGATTTAATTAATTATAAATTATTAAGTTAAGTATCTTTTATTTTTTTTAATTTTATCTCGTTATTATTAACATGAAATATAACGTTACATCAATTTTTTTACTAGTATAATATATTTACATTAATATGAAATATTATTAATAATCATGATTGATATAAATATGTACCCTTCGCACATTACATTTTTCTATTAAACAATTTAACAATGCTATGAAAAAATAACTTGTATTTAAAAAATTAAATTCACGTAAAAATTCAAATATAAAATTGAAAAGGTAAAAAAAAAATCCATTATTAATAATCTTTTTTAATTTTATTATATAATATTTTTTTTTATAGTTTACCACAAAAAAGTTTTTAACTTAATAATGACGTCTAATAATAAATTTAAAGAAACCATAAATTAATTACTGTGTAATGACGTGTAATAATAAAGTTAACAAAAACAAAACTAAATTGCGTCTTATTAATGAATCGGTTAATTGTTACCATCAGATATATTATAAAGAATTAACGCCTTAGATAGTATTTATTATTATTATTATTATTATTATTATTATTATTATTATTATTATTATTATTATTATTATTATTATTATTATTATTATTATTTATAACTAGTACTTACTAGTTAAGTAAATATAATTAATTCAATAATCACTTCTTTTTTGAGTTTAGATCCTTTTCAATCTTACAATAATATAATAATTTACATAACTAATTTTTTATATATTTTAATATAAAATTGTTTATAATTTTAATAATAATTTAATGATCATTAAATATATTTATTTACATAATTATAATTATATTTTTATTTTTTATTATAATATTAAAATAAATTGTTAATATATATATTTATTTTATATTCTTTATTAATGATCTATTATTTAATTTCAAAAATCATTAAAAAATCATAAAAAATGTAAAAAACATAAAAAAAATATTAAATGAATTATTAGAAATACTTTACAAAAACTTTATTACAAATTATGAAATACCTTAAATATGATACATTAAATATTTATGATAAATTTGATCATGATAATTAAAAAAATAAATTCATGATAATTATAACTCTATTAGAAATATAACCAGATGATAAAATTTGTAAAAGAAAAGTTTGATGATAAAACCAGAAAAAAGAAAATTGATGATAAAATTTGGAAAATACTGATCATTAATCAATAAAATATGTACTTGTGTCAAATAAATTAAATTTAATAAAATTAGTACCGGTCTTAAATATTCGTAAATTCAAACTAATTTAATCTAATTTATATATTTTGGGTTGAGAAATTTTAAGAGTTTAGATTAGAACGAATCTAATTGAATCAAACTTATTGTTGTTAGGATTAAATATTGGATTTTAATGTCAAACCCAACCAATCCAAATTTAGTAAATACCAATCCAATCTATTTTATTATTTGTACATATTTATTTAAAACAAAAATTTGGAAATGTTCATACATTAAATACTACGTATACAAGTTCTTGAGCTTACTTTTCCTTCTTAGTTCGGTTCTTTAATTTTTTTTTTCCCCTTTTCGTCTTTTCACATTTATACAGTTTTTTTTAATTTAATTTTTAGTTTAATTGATTTCAAATTATAATTTAATTAAAATGAATATATAATACAATTATTCAAAAGTTATTATTTTTTTCCTCAAAATCCTTGAGATTTTGATTAAGTACGATTCAATTAAAATTGTGGTTGTATCTAATCTTCAACCTTTTTTAACAAATTTGAATCCCGTTATTTTGTTGTTATATATACAAACAAATTAATTCTCATTATATGGAATTTGTGATAATAGATTATGATTGTATGTTGCTTAATGACATCAAGGGATCTCGCCTTATAATCAATATGAAGGTTCAATTATAAGATAAACATTTATTTCAACATTACATAACCCCAATTTTAAGTTATAGAAGTTGAAACTCAAAATAAGTCAAATAATCACATTATTATGTCGTATTCTTTAGACGAAACCTTTTTATTCGGACATCACATACTCCTTAGTCTCAAGTCACGAATGCTAAGACCTATTAGGCAAATCATTGACAACGATATTATCAAATCATTAAGCATGATTATCACATAGCTCCTAGGCTCAAGTCCAGAATTATACAAAGTCATGTTGGACCATAGGATCTTATCGGATCTTATAGGATCTTATTGAATCACACAAAGTCATGTCATCGTGTCAGACCTCCTATAGTCGTCATATTAGACTACTCATGTCATGTTTATCAAAACCTAAGGACAAACCAACATAGTGTCAAAGTAATACCAAAATCAATCAATAATTACCCACAAATATAGTTTCAATATTTCACGTATTAACGAATTTAAAACATAATAATATATTTAAGTAAATATCTTATTATATATTATTGGGTTGATAAAAATAATACATCTTGAAAAGTCTAATATTATATAGATAAGAAATGAAGTAGGTAATATTAGCTATATAATAGACTTAAAGTCCATGGTGTTTCTCGCTGAATCAAAGACACTTTAAGCATGTATTTGACTTGTCTTATACTTTTGTTGTAGAGTGTTGAGAGATTTAATTTAAATTATTGCTTTAGAGAGTGTGGGTGTATTTGGAGTCAAATGGCATGAGAGAATTATTTATATGTTGTAAAAATTTTCACAATGTTATTCTCTAGTTATCGTTAAATAATAGTTGTGGTTTTTCTTCGATAAAGTTTCTACGTTATATTCTTAAATAAGGATAAAAATGATGATGTTCTTCATGATCTTTTTTCTCAAACATAATGACAGTGATATTTTCCATTACGTTTTTTCCATCATATATTTTACATTTATTTGATAATAAACAATCACATGTATATATCTATTAAACTAATATATTTTTATTAATTAAAAAATCAAAAGGTTATTTCTTATGGGAAAACAAAAAATAACATTACAAGTATATATCTATTAAACTAATATATTTTTTATAAGATTATTTTTTAAAACACAATCCTCTTTTTTTTTTTTACATTGTTAAAAAATTGACATGATAACCTTAATAAAAAATTATAATATATTAATACTTTCATTAGTTAAATTAAAGAATTACATTATAATTTCAAATTTATTTTACAAGATCATGTCAATCAAAATACTACGACAAACCTACATAATATTATTAAAATAGACTAAAATTAATCGATAATTATCCACTGTTCCAAAACATAATAATATAAATATTTAATTAAATATCTTATGTAATAAAGTAATAATATTTTTTATTAATTAAAAAATAAAAAGGTTATTTCTTATTAGAAAACAAAAAAAATTGTATAAGTATTAAACTAGTATATTTTTTATAAGATTATTTTCAAAAATATATTACTTTTTTTTAATGAAAGATATTTTAAAAAAATAATGCAATAAACTTAATAAAAATATAATATATTAATATTTTTTATTAAATAATTAAATTGAAGAATTAATTTTATATTTTCAATTAACTTATTTTATAAAGGATATAATTATAAGTAAATTATAATATATATATATATATATATATATATATATATATATATTATTTTTTTAACTGGTCAATAAAAAATTGGTAATTGAACATATAATAATAATAATAATAATAATAATAATAATAATAATAATAATAATAATGATAATAATAATAATGATGATGATAATAATAAAAATAAAAATAAAAATAAAAATAAACGTCAATCTATGTTATATGTATATTCGTGATGGTTATATACTGTTATTAAAATATGGTGTTGCAACTTATGGAGTTATGTAAGTTTGTAGTCTTTTCTAAATTAATTACTCAAGTTATCATTTGTTGAATAAATCTCTTTTTTTATTATCTTGTTAGAGAGGTTTCTTCTTTTTTACGTTTCCCACTTTTCTCTTGGAGGAAACACTCTATCTTCCCCACATATAGTATAAAATGTGTTTTAAAAAATTCTTAAAACTTTGATTAACTATTATTTAAGTGAAAAACGTAATTATAGCATCATCCTAAATCCATTTTAATAAATTGTTTTGTTTTGAATATAAATTTTTTTGACATAATTTTATTATAATTATTAAATAACTTGATTCTCGTTTTATATAAAATTTTTGAGATTGTAACCATGATAAAAACATTTATTTGGACGCCAAAGTTATATCCAAATATAATGATAAAAGAATAATATTTAATAAAAATTAATATAAATTTATTTTTTTATATTAATTAATTAAATCCAATCTTACTCGTCATATTATTTGAATCGAAATTTAATAAATAAATATCATAAATCAACCTAATTGAATGTTAACTGAATAGATTGATTTAACGTGAAATTAATAAACAAATAACGAAATTCAACTCAAATAAACTTAATCCAAACTATTTTTATGAGTTCGAATAATAGGTTTGATAAAAATTTAACCCTGCTCACTCATAATATGTAATTATGTTCTGATTGGATCATTTCAAATTCGACCGATTGAACTAATTGTAGTCTTATCCGTAGTTTAAAAATTTTCTTCATGTTATCGTAACTTACTTACACGACAAAATATGTTAACTTTTTTGTAGAATCAAATTCCCACCTTAAAATGAGAAATAAGATACATTACTGAAAATTATAGACATTTCTCCTATAAAGATTATAAGTTTATATTATCATTAAATATCTCCATACATTAA